GCTATAGGCACTGAAATGTGACCTAGAGCTTTCCAGTTTTTTGTATACAAGCAAAATGTGGCTGTGACTAAAGGAGATAGCATTGTAGAGAATGAAGGTATGTTAGAAACTGGTATGCAGATCCCTCATCAGCCATTTCAGTCACCCAGACAGTGTGACCTGCCATCATGAAGCAGCATTTTTGAAAACAGAGGGCAGTAGTACCCATATATATATCAAACAGGACTTTAGCTATGATCATCCCATGGACTGCATATGTAGAAATGGTCCTGTATGACCCTCAAAAAACTGTCCTTTCTGTTTTGGGTTGCTCACTTCCTGTTGAGTCAGAGATTAATTTTATTTGCTCTAGTACAGCAATTTTCAACTGGTATGCTGCAAGAATTTAAAAATATATATATATATATATGTTATTGATTTTTTACAGAGAGAAAGGAAGAGAGATAGAGAGCTAGAAAACATCGACGAGACAGAAACATCAATAGCTGCCTCCTGCACACCCACCACTGGGGATGTGCCCACAACCAAGATACATGCCCTTGACCAGAATCGAACCTGGGACCCCCAAGTCTGCAGGCCAACACTCTATCCACTGAGCCAAACCGGTTTCTGCGCTGCAAGAATTTTTAAAACATGCAATACTGACTATTTAGTCAGGAGCACTGACTTCTTTTCTCTTAGGTTGTCAAATTAAAATATGACAACCAGCACAATAGCTGCCTGGTGTGAATGAATCAAAATTATAGCTATTTATTTTGTCAGATTAACAAATGATATATTTTTTGGTGTGCTGCAGAATTTAATAACTAGTTTATGTGTTCCTTGAGATGAAAGAGGTTGAAAATCATTGCTCTAGTGAATCAGTACTGCCTCAATGCCAGGGTCAAGGAGAATCACAGTTCCTGAGTTCATGCCAATAGCGAGAGTGACCATCAGATGGCAGCATCTAACTAGTTGCTGTTGGTGAGGGATTCCCACTTCCACTCTTACCCTATTCCACCCCTGATTAAACTCTGTTGCTAGAGAGAAGAAACTCTGAACATAAATGTTTTGAGTATCCTGAATATTTGGGAAGTGGAAACAGAAAGGCTGCAGAAGATGTGAAAAAAGCACTAATTTTAGACTCAGATAGGTCTTGGTATCTTTCTCTACTCGGTCAACAAAAGCAACGTTCTGGCACTATATGGCAATGCTTTCTTTGTTGTGTCTCTGATTTGTGTTGTTTTTATTTTTATTTTTTAAATTTAATAAATCTTTATTGTTCAGATTGTTACAATTGTTCCTCTTTCTCCCTCCCATAGCTTCCCTCCACCCAGTTCCCATGTCACACTCTGCCCTTAACCCCCTCACCCCCCACTGTCCTCATCCATAGGTGTACAAATTTGTTAAGTCTTCTTGCACCCTCCACTTGCCTTTCCCCTTGAGAATTGTAAGTCCACTTCATTTCTATGCCCCTGATTCTATTATATTCACCAGTTTATTCTGTTCATCAGATTTTTCTTATTCACTTGATTTTTAGATTCACTTGTTGATAATATATGTATTTGTTGTTCATAATTTTATCTTTACCTTTTCTTCTCCTTCCTCTTCCTCTTCTTAAAAAATACCTTTCAGCCAAAACCGGTTTGGCTCAGCGGTAGAGCATTGGTCTGCGGACTGAAGGGTCCCAGGTTTGATTCCGGTCAAGAGCATGTGCCTTGGTTGCGGGCACATCCCCAGTGGGGGGTGTGCAAGAGGCAGCTGGTCGATGTTTCTCTCTCATCGATGTTTCTAGCTCTCTATCTCTCTCCCTTCATCTCTGTAAGAAAATCAATAAAATATATTTTAAAAAAATACCTTTCAGCATTTCGTATAATACTGGTGTGGTAGTGATAAACTTCTTTAGCTTTTTCTTATCTGTGAAGCTCTTTATCTGCCCTTCAATTCTGAATGATAGCTTTGCTGGGTAGAGTACTCTTGGTTGTAGATTCTTGTTATTCATCACTTTTATATTTCTTGCCACTCCCATCTGGCCGGCATGGTTACTGTTGAGAAATCAGCTGACAGTCATATGGGTACTCCCTTGTAGGTAACTAACTGTTTTTCTATTCCAGCTTTCAAGATTCTCTCTTTGTATTTTGCCCTTGGCATTTTAATTATAATGTGTCCTGGTGTGGTCCTCTTTGAATTCCTTTTGTTTGACGTTCTCTGTGCTTCTTGGACTTGTAAGTCTATTTCTTTCACCAGGTGGGGGAAGTTTTCAGTCATTATTTCTTCAAATAGGTTTTTAGTATCTTGCTCTCTCTCTTCTTCTGGCACCCCCCATAATTCTGATGTTGGTACGCTTGAAGTTGTCCCAGAGGCTTCTTACTCTATCTTCATATTTTTAAATTATTTTTGCTTTTTGCTTTTCTGGCTGAGTGTCCTTTGTTTCTTTTTGTATTTCAAATCTTTGACATGATTTTTGTGTTCCTCTACTCTGTTATTAGATCTTTGTATAATATTTTTTTATTTCAGTCAGTGTATGCTTAATTTTTAGTTGGTCCTTTTTCATATCATTGAGGGTCTTACTAAATTTATCATCCTTTTCTAGAAAATTATTGAAAAACTTTAAAAACTGAGGTTTTGAACTCTATATTCAGTCATTTGCTTTTCTCCATTTCTTTAATTTGTGATTTGTTTCTTTGTCTCCACATTTTGGCTGCTTCCCTGAGTTGATAGAGTGGCTTTGTGTGGTAGGTGTTCTGTAGGACCCAGTGGCTCAGCCTCCCCAGTTAAATGAGGTACACACTCTTGGTGCACCCCTTTGTGGGCTGTGTGCACAGTCTTGTTGTAGTTAAGTTTTTTTATGATGATATCACTGGGAGAAATTGACCTCCAGGTCAACTGGCTGTGAGATCAGCTGTATCTACACTGGGAGAATTTCTGTGCTGGAGACACCCTTATGGGAAAGAAATTGCAAAAGCCTCTGTGCTCAGCTTGGATGGGGCAGAGTCTCAGGGCAGAGAAGACTGCATTGGGTTCCCTTCAGCCCTGCCCTAATAAGCCCCTGTGTCTCAGTGTCCTCTGAGAGAAAGCTACTCTTGAGTTCCACCCACTGCCAGACAGTCCAGTTTCTCCCCAAATGAGTCTGGGTCCCCAGACTCTCACCCAGAACTGGAGTTCAGTGCAGTTGGGAGCTTTTGTCTCCCTCTTGCTTGAGAAAGCCAGCTGTGTACTCAATTGCACTCCCTCTTCACGTGTGCCCCTCAGTACCTCTGCCTTCTGCAGTTCCTCTGAGTCTCAGTGTGCCTTTTTCATTCCTGACAGTACAGTTTCACCCCATATAAATCTGGGTCCCCAGAGTCTTACTTGAATTGGAGGTCGGAATAGTTGGGAGCTTTTGTCTCCCTCCCACTTGAGAAAGCCAGCCGCACACTCAGTTGCCAGTCCTCTCCACATACACATGTCTTAGTAACTCTGTCTCCTGAAGCTCCTGTGAGTCTCAGTGTGCTTCTCTCTTTCCTTCTAGTTGTAGAATTTCCACTCAGCCAGCCTTCCTGTGGTTCTGGATGATGTCCATTTTGTCTTTTAGTTGTAGTTTTGAAATTGTTGTGAGAGGCAGCGGTTTAGATGTTTACCTATGCCAGCATCTTGGCTTCTCCCATTTGTGTTGTTTTAAACTCTATTCGACATATGTTTATTTTCCACTGCCAAAAGTGCCAACAAAAGGATTCTGCAAGTAGAGACAACAGAAAGCTAGCAACTGCTACTGACAAGACAGACAAGGCATCAAGGATACATGTTTGATGATGGAGTATATCACCAGGGTCTAGTTTTTGGTTGTGCATATCAGCAAGGAAAAAAGACAGTCGAGTCCTCTTTTGTGGCAATTGTGATATTGAGATTTATTTTTAAATTTTCTTTTGTCAGTCAATTCCAAAGCCATTTTGTTTCATTCATTCACTAGTTCCCTTGTTTTGTCTCTTAGTTCATTCAACCAATATTTACTATCTTTAGAGCATTTTTGCTGGATACTCTGTTTTTATTGTTGTTGTTGTTTTGTTGTTATTTTTAAAAAAATAGGATTAGCAAGATTTCAAAAAAATCTTGATTTTAATACCATTAAAAGAATGTCAACTAGGTGAAAAGGTGAAGGAATTAAAAAGTACAGCCGGGACTGGTTTGGCTCAATGGATAGAGCGTCGGCTTTGGGACTGAAGGGTCCCGGGTTCGATTCGGGTCAAGGGCATGTACCTTGGTTGCGGGCATATCCCCAGTAGGGGGTGTGCAAGATGTTTCTAACTATCTCTCTCCCTTCCTCTCTGTATAAAATCAATTAAAAAAAAAAGTACAAATGGCCAGTTTTAAAAATAGCCATGGGGATGCAAGTCAGCATAGGAAATACATTAAATAATATTGTAATAATGATGTATGGTGTCAGATGGGTGCTAGATTTATGTGGTGACTACTTCTTAAGCTATATAAATAAGTACATAGTATACCCATAGTACAGTATATCAACTATAATTTGTTTTTAATTAAAAAAAAGAATAGACACATGAGAGGAAAGGCTAACCCTAAAGGTTACTCTATCCCGTTTTCCTACAGCTTCCTCAGTTTCCAGATTTCAGGAATTAAAATCAGTTCACAAACTCTCATTAGCATGTCCTGTTTATCCAAACCTTCGGGAATCAGCGTCTACAGGGAACTGAACACTCTCCAAAAATCACATGACTAAAGAATTTCCTCAAGAGACAGACAACTCCAGTATCATTTAGATCTGCCTTTTCACACCCTGGCCATAAGGGACATATACACCTGGGCTTCCACCTTTTCAGTCCCTGCCCTGAGTCATTGTACTGGCTACAGCACCATCTCTCTTTGAGAGAAAAGCTCTTGCTTTCAGAGAAGATCACATTTGCAAACTTTTTACTCTTTGGAAAAGTTGTGAGCAGCGAAATGGGGAGGAAAGAGTAGACTATAGAGTTGAGGAAATATCAACTTGCCATTCTCAACACCTCTCTCTGGTGCCCACTTGTTATCTTCCTTTCTCCCCAGGCAGTGATGGCTCTCCAGAAGACCCTTTCATTGCTTCTGCTCTTGTTGGTGACCCTGCTGGGGCTGGGGCTGGTGCAGCCCTCATATGGCCAATCCATGTACCAACTATTCCTGCGGCAACATGTGGACACTAAACATAGAGGTGGCACCAGTTTTTACTGCAACAGGATGATGCAAATACGGGGGATGACTAGGCCCAGGTGCAAGCAATTCAACACCTTCATCCATGAAGACATCTGGGACATTAATAACATCTGCAAGAGCCCCAATATCCAGTGCAAGAATGGCAAGATGAATTGCCATGCAGATGTAGTGAGAGTCACAGACTGCAAGCTTACATCACGTTCCCGGCGAAACTGCAGATATCAGGGCAGGGGCAGCTCTAGGCGTGTTGTCATCGCCTGTGATGATAAAACCCTGATGCCTGTGTACTTTGATGGATAGATGCTATCCTGAAACAGTTATGGCCCTGTGGTTGACCTTTTACTTACTCCTTGAACAGCAATGAGTAATGCATTTGAGCTATGTCTACTTCTTTTTCTCTATATAATCCATTCTGTTAAATGCATCAAAGAGAAATGGAGACATAAATGTATAATGCAATGGGGCTTTCTTGAATAAAATTTTCTATAAAATCTGCTTCCTTTTAAAATACTGCTCAGCTTAGCTCTCTCAAATCCTATCCTCTGGAATTTTGTTATTATATGTATGATATAACATTTCACATATTTTAAAGTATTTCCATCTCCGTTATCTAATTTTAATACCACCGCACCTCTGTGATGTTCATGTTGCTACAAAAGGAACTCAAAGTTAAAAAGATTTACCGAAGAACATGAAGATGTGGAAAAGGTGATATAAAAAAATCCATTAAAAAATCCATTTCAACTGGCTACTAATCCAAGGCTTTTCCTACTTCATGACAGGGAGTGCTTTAAAAGTAACTGCTTTTTGATATTCTCAAAAGTCAGCTGTTGGGGGAAGCATTAAACATTTAGAAATATGAACTGGAAAAATGAGAGCCCTGTCTGTATAATTTGTCAACCTTGTTATGTTTGTCTCTAATAAGATTAAAAAATCATACAGGAACTTTCTTTTTCTCTTCACACACTTTTGAATCATAGTAGTAAGTCAGAATATTAACAATGTACTAGATCATTAGGACTCATTCTCTCTTCCTGACTGGAAAGATTTTTCACATTTTCTTTGTAATAAAGAACTGCAGATATCTGAAAAGATGGTGCTATGGTTCTTGTGTGGAATTTCTTTTCTTTTATCTTCTTTTAATTCTTTTCTAGTTTATAAACATGAGCGAACAGCTTCATACCTTCATAAACGGACCCATAATTAAAACCTATTGGATCAATGACCATGACCCAGAAATATTTGTGTCATTTACTAAAGACAATTATTACACCCTTCCCTTTTCCCTTTGATTATTTTGAAACAAATTGGAGAACAGAGATGTATGAAGACACTAGCAGCTAAAAATGGAAGTATGTATGTATGTGAGTGAGTGTGTGTGTGTGTGTGTGTGTGTGTGCACATGAAAAGACTAAACTGAAAATATTTGAATTAAAGCAAATATACATTGTTTATGTTTAAGGTGTGCAACCTCATTCAGTATACTAGTACATATGCATTGTGGAAGAATCACTACAATCAAGGTAATTCACCTATCTGTTATTTCACATGATTACCAAAAGTGACCCTATTTTGGATTGTTTTCTACTCCATTCTTTTTAACACTACTGAACATCATAGCTTAGCCACCAATTTCTTCTGACTACATGTAGCTTTCACACCATTGTAAAGTTAAAATATCCTAGGCATGAAAATCCTATATAATAAAAGAATAGTATGCAATTTGTCTCCTGGACCGGGAGTTTGACCAGGGGATAGAGCCAGCTGGAGCAAGGGAAGGAGGCCATGGCCTGCAGAAGCAGGCTGCTGGGCCAAGGAATGGAGTACCTGGTCGGTAATCGGCAGCCAGCAGGTGATAACAAACATACCAGTGCACAGATTTGGTGACCTAGGCCTCTAGTTCATAAATAAAATTGTGGATAATTTTTGCTAATCCATGTCACCAAACTAACCAAATTTCAGCTTCTTCCATGGGTGAAATTTTAAACCAATCAATTTAGAATTACTTGATCAGCATTGGTGAGGTAATATGGCTGATCAGACCCTCTGCCTTCCCCTGAGTGAAGGTGTCCTTGCTTAAAATAATCCAGTCTTTTTTTTTTATTGTTCATATTATTAAAAATGTTTATTCCCCCCCCCCTCCATTGCTCTCCTCCACCATGTTCCCACCCCACCCTCTGCCCTTTCCCCACTCCCCATTGTCCTCATCCATAGGTGCACAGTTTATGTTCAGTCTCTTCCCAAATCCCCCTCTCCCCTTTTCCCCAAGAATCGTCAGTTCGCTCCCATTCCATACCTCTGATTCTATTATATTCACCAGTTAATATTGTTAATCAGATTTTTAAAAAAATTTCCTTGGTTATTGGATTCGCTTGTTGATAGTTACGTATTTGTTGTTCATAATTTTTATCTTTATCTTCTTCCTCTTCCTAAAGAACCCCCTTCAGCACTTCATATAATTCTGATTTGGTGGTGATGAACTCCTTTAGCCTTTTTTTATTTGTGAAACTTTTTATCTGGCCTTTGATTCTGAGTGATAGCTTTGCAGGGTAGAGTATTTTTGGCTGTAGGTTCTTGTTATTCATCACCTTGAATATTTCTTGCCATTCCCGTCTGGCCTGCATGGTTTCTGTTGAGAAATCAGCTGACAATCGTATGGGTGATCCTTTATAGGTAACTACCTGCTTTTCTCTTGCTGCTTTTAATATTCTCTCTTTATCTTTTGCTCTTGGAATTTTAATTATGATTTGTCTTGGTGTGGTCCTCTTTGGATTCCTTTTGTTTGGAGTTCTGTGCGCTTCCTGGACTTGTAAGTCTAATTCTTTCACCAGGTGGGGGAAATTTTCTGTCACTATTTCTTTGAGTATGTTTTCCATATCTTGCTCTGTCTCATCTTCTGGGACCGCCATAATTCTGATGTTGGTTCGCTTGAAGTTGTCCCAGAGGTTTCTTACACTATCTTGAACTTTCTGGATTCTCTTGTCTTCTTGCTTCTGTGGAGGAGTGTCCTCTGACTCTTTGTGTTCCAAATCTTCTTTGACTTGATTCTTGTGATCTTCCATTCTGTTTTTAGGACTCTGTATAATATTTTTTTTTCCAGACAATGTATTCTTTATTTCTTGTTGATCCTTCATCATTTCTTGTTCATTCCTTATTAATTCTAGTTGATCTCTTTTCATATCCTCATAGGTCTTATCGATCTTTTCTAGGAAATTCTTGAAAAACCTTATAAGCGTAGATTTGAACTCTATATCCAGTCGCTTTTTGTCCTCCATTTCTTTCATTTGTGATCTATTTTATTTCGGCATTTTCACAGCTTTCCGGATGGGCCGGGGTTTCAGGGTGGAGCCTACAGCTTTGGCTTCCATCAGCCCTGCCTTATGCGGCTCCTGAGTCTCAGGGACCTTCAGTACTTGTTGCGAGCGCCTCTGAGAGAAAGGTGCTCTCAATTTTCGCCTGCTACCAAACAGTCTAGGCTCTCCCCCAATGAGCCCGGAACTGGGGTTCAGTTCAGTTGGAAGTGGGATTGGAGGTGGTGTTCAGAGCAGTCTGGAGCCCCTGTCCCCTTCCCGCCAGGGCAATCCCGCGGCACAGCCCTTCTCTGCATGCAATGTGCGCACCGCCAGGACCTCCTTTTGCCGCTCCCCTGGGGCTCCGCCTTACAGCCCAGATCCCTATGGATGAGCCTGGGTCCGCGAGTCTGGCCTAGAACTGGGGTTCAGTGCTGTCGGGTCTGAGGTTCAGCACAGTCGGAGTTTTTATCTCCTTCCTGCGAGGGAACGCCAGCCAGGTACTCGGCCTCCCTCCTCTCCGCCCGCGCCTCGTGTCTCCGTACCTCAGGCTTTTACAGGTCCTCCACGCTTCCTTATGGTTTTCTCCTTGCTTCTCGTTGTAGAATTTCCAGTCAATCAACTTTCCTGTCATTTTGGGTAATGCCCATTTTATATTTTAGTTGTATTTTATTGAAATTGTTGTGTGCGGCTGCAGCTAGGTGTTTACCTGGGCAGCCATCTTGGATTCTCTCCCGCTATCTCAAAATAACCCAGTCTTTTAACTACATAGTCCCACCCTCTTTCTGCCTGTGAAAACCCTCCATTTTGTACAACTCACCAAAGCACCTTTCTAGTTGCCAGATCCATGCTGCCCAACTCCTGAATTGCTTAATGAAGCCAATTAGATCTTCAAACTTACTTGGCTGAATTTTGTTCTTTAGCTCCTGCCCCCAGGGCCTTGTCATTTCTTTGTATACAGAAGACTGCTTTTGATGTATGACCCCTTTGCTTCAGGCTTTACATTGTACCTTATTTTATTTTTTTTTGCACATTTTTCTTTCTCACTTCTCTTTCTTTCCCCCCATTTCTCTTCTCCTATCTCTGTATCTGTTTTTTTCTTTCCTTTCTTTTTTATCCTTTCTAAAAATGGATCTTCTTTATCTGCTTTATTGATGTGTCTTTGTTGTTTTATTCATATATCTAATTTTTTCTTTCCTGCTCCTATTCCATTTATCCTTCTCTTTTCTTTCTCCTCCTACTCAATTTTTATCTTTTTTCTTTTTCTTGTTTTGCTATTTTCTTGTCTTAATTTTATAAAACATTTTGTACTTCCTAAATTTCTATCTGCTCTCTCCTCTACTCTCTGTCAAAAAACTTTTTTTTAATATTTATTTTTCTCCTGCCTCTATTCCAAACCATGATCCTTCCATATTCATCCAATTCCTCAACCTTATATTTTCTATTTAGGCTCTGCATCTATAGATTCTTCTCTCTCCTTTTTTTTTTTTTTTTTTTTTTTTGGTGTTTTTTGTTTGTCCTTTTTTAAAATTTATTTGTTGTGTTTCCTCCCCATAGACTTCCTTTCTTTCTTTTTTCTTTTCTTTTCACATCCTTGTTCTATTTTCTAAATCTCTTTTTTCTAGCTGTCACTTTTATTAGAGTTATCGGTGTCTTGTGTACATTCATGTTCTATTCCTCCTGTGTTGGTCTTCATGCTGGGGCCCTGTCTGATCCCACTGGCCCAGGCTCAGGATGAGAGGTACAGACACTTCCTGGACCAGCACTATGATGCCAATCCACGTGGTCATGATAACAGACACTGTAATACCATGATGAGGAGATGAGGCTTGACTTCACCCTGCAAATACACCAACGCCTTTATTCATGGCACCAGTAACAACATCAAGGCTGTCTGTGAAGACAAGAATGAAAAGTCTGATGGGCAATCTTCAGAATAAGCAAGTCTCCTTTCCAGGTCACTACTTGCAAGCACAGAGGAGCGTCCCCCAAGCCTCCCTGCCGATACAGAGCCACACCAGGGTTCAGAGACATAGTTATTGCCTGTGAACATGGCTTGCCTGTCCACTTTGATGAGTCCTTCTACCATTCATAACCAGCAGGCGTCTCTGCTCTCTATTCCTGGCATTTCCCCACACAACCTAGAACAGAGGTGGCCACATTCATTGCCAGGGGCCCAGAAAATGAGCTGCCTGGATCTTTGTTTTCTGTTTAACAATATGATAATAAATAAGAATGTCTCTGAAATCAATAAGAATCAAAGTCTTCTCATCAATTCTTGGCATTTGGATTTCCCCCCATTTTCTCTACTCAGCTGCCTCAGAGAGGATGGCATGGAATACAAATGCCTTTTCCCCTGTCAGTTACTTTGTTCTCAGTCAATAGGGAGGTAGACTTTCCTTTTTTGTGAGTTTAAGGATGTTAAATTCATCTTTTCCCAGAGCTGGGAAATTCCAGGGCACATGGCTGCTAAGCAGAATTTTCAGGAGGAGCAAATTATATTTGGGGTCAAATAACTCAATATTACTTTTACAAATGTTAAACTTTGAGGAGCAGTGTTTAGAACTAAATACCAATAGATTAATAAAACTTTACCTCTCTTAAATTTTCACATTTTTAAAGATATATTTCAAATAAAACACAAGGCATATTTATTAATGAATACAAATATATCCTCTAAATTCTCTATAAGAGGCAAATTCAAATTAATTTTCAGTATCCTGTTACTCCAAAATATCTAGATATTTAATTTTTTTACTATTTAACCCAGCAAAGTCCAAAGTTTTAAATCACCAAAAATTATCTGAAAAAGCTGTATCATAAATCCTTTCTTTTAATTACATCTATTTATGTTTTTGTCATGTTGTGATTTTAAAGCTAATTGTTTTTATCCAAGCCATTTTCTTGTCAGATTTTGTAACAGGGATAACTCACTGGCCTTCAGTGGCTTTAATGTAAAAGTACTATTTTATGTTATTTTCCTTTACAAAAATAGTGAAATATGGTAGCACTCATACTTGGGTAAAAACTGCTGTTTGAATTTTAACCTTGCTATCTGACTTCGACCTTCGATTACTTGCTTGAACAATAGGGTAGTTGCAGGAGATTGACTCCCACTGACTCAGTAGATAACCTTTAGTTCTGCTTTTGTATTATGGGCAAGATAGGGCCACATTCCAATGTCAAGCAGGGTGTGACTGGGAACCTACCCTGCTGGCTGTCCCCAGTCTTTAGAATTTAGTCCTGAGAGTCCAATCAGGGTTAGCCGAGGCAGTGATATCACCGACCTGAATAAAACTCCTGGACTGGGCGAAATTCGCTCTCTTCCGCCATGCTGCCGGCGTGGGTAGGAGGAGCACATGCTAGCATGGTGAAGGCTCTTTTGTTTATTGCATCGGACTCGGCTCCCTGGTGGTCCTTGGGGATCATGACTGGAATCCCCAGCCAGGACCATGAGGGACCCCCATTCCGGAGAGCCTGACTGGCCGCGGTAGGTGTGTGTTTGTCTGTGTTTTTGTGTGAGCGCTCTGGAGGGACTGCCCCTCCATCAGGGCTCTTACCTGGGTGTTTACCAGCTGCTGTGTCAGCCATGGTTTGAGTCCAGATTCGAATCTGTAATAAATTCTAGCATGCTTAATCAAATTGGCTCCGGTGGTCCATCTCTTGGGGACTTGCTTCGTAACAAATAGGAGTTCCCCCTCCCCTGACTGCCTTCACTGCTATTTCTGCACCTTCCTGGAGGGTTTTTCTACACAGCTGTTCCTCCCAGCGCTATGGACAAAAAAAGAGCATTGGGGACTAGTTATGGAAATATTAATCTGTTAGGCATGATTGCCTACCCAGGACATAGCACCTGGCTAGGAGTCAAAGGTCCCCTCCCTCCTTGGAATGTGGTACATTCTTATTCAAGAACTTCCCATTATCATGGAAACATTAACCCTGTTGCCCAAACAATGGAGTCCCAACCCAGACTGCATTGCTTACTTCCCATGCCCATAATCCCTACTTCCCCATGTAATTCTGTCCCTATATTCATAAACCAGGGAATAGCAAATTAAGGCCCCCAAAAGAGAGAAAGCCAAAATTACATTAGACACACAGACAGAAATCTCACTAGCTAAGAGTTTCTGGTGAATGATGTCCTGAGAGGGAGAGCAGGAAGAGTACATTCTGACAATCTCTGTCCCAAATTCAGCCTCAATACACATAACTGGGCTTCCCCAAAGCAGGACATGCCCCATCTTTAAAGAAATTAAACCAAACAACAAAGAAACACAAACATCAACAGAAACGCTCTTATACAGATGTGCACAATGCACCAAAACCTGCACCACAGAGTGCCCTGCTTTAACAAACCACCTAAGCAGAACAATATCTCCTGTTTCTGGTTTGGGGACTGTCCCTCCCCTGAACTTCAGTATTGTCCCAAATAGACTATTTGGGGAAGAATTCTGTGTAGGTCTAGAATTTTTGTTTCCCATCCTCAGAAAGTCCCTGTGACTCTGTTTCTGCTCAGTCCCCCATATTGGAGATGTCTCACAATCCCCGAGAGCCGTTTTGTCCCTCTGACCATTTCCCTTATGGGAGAACAGAACCGCAGATCAGAACTCCACACTTGCTTTATATGTCAGACCTTTCACAGTCACATATATCCGACCTCTGAGGATACCCAACCACCAACATGGTATTTCCACCTTGGCCTGCATGAGACTTGCCTGGTTACTGGGCATGTACCCTCTTTGTATCATTTTCATCACCTTCCAAAGAAAAACAGTCTTGGACTAACCTATGGAACCTGCAAAGAGACAGGGCCCAGGCAAAGGGCCACCCAAAATTGGATGAGACGTGCCTACCCTTCAACCAGTGTCCCTCCCTAGTCTGGGCACGGAAATCCAGACGTGCCCCCAAATTTTGAGAAATGGCTCATCTGTCTAAATTTCAAATGATGGTCTGGGAAACAGCAACATGGCAAAAATGAGACTTTTAATAACACTATTGACAGCGGGTGTCATTGTATGGCACACAAGTGGGGAAGGGAACATAGACTATTTATTTATTCCCTCTTTCGGTTCATAATTGGCTTCATCCTATGAGGTCACCTGTTTCTTTATACATTGCCTAGGTCTTGCTGTTTCCCATTGGGCTATTTAAAATATTGGCTGAGATATTTTCTTTCTTAATTTAGTACCATGCACTCCTGTGATGCTAATGTTGCTACATATAAGAGCCCAAAGTTAAAGGATTTGCTGAAGAACATGAAGTTAGTGGAAAAACTAAAGCAAAAAATCCACTTCAATTGGCTACTAATCCAGGACTTTTTCTACTTCATCACAAGGAGTGTTTTGAAAGTATCTGCTTTTTGGTATTCCTAGCAATCAATATTGGGGAAGCATTACAAATTTGGAAATATGGACTAGCAAAATAAGAGCTCTGTCTGTATACTAAGGCAGCTTTGTTATGTTTGGGTCTAATAAGATTATGATGTAAAGAATTTTCTTTTTCTCTTCCCAAACTTTTGAATCGCTGTAGCAAGTATTAAGAATGCACTAGATCATTAAGACTCATTCACTCTTCCTAACTGGAAAGATTTTTCATGTTTTCCTTTTAATAAAGAACTCAAGCCCAGCCAGCATGGCTCAGTGGTTGAGAATCAACCTATGAACCAGGAGATCAACAGTTCAATTCCTGGTCAGGGCACATGCCCAGTTGTGGGCCAGTCCCCCATATCAGGCATGCAGGAGGCAACCAATCAGTGATTCTCTCATCATTGATGTTTCTATGGCTCTTCCTCTCTGAAATCAATTTAAAAAAAAAATATATATATATATATAATATATATTAATATATCTTATTGATTTTTCTTACAGAGAGGAAGGGAGAGAGATAGAGAGCTAGAAACGTCAATGAGAGAAAAACATTGACCATCTGCCTCTTGCACACCCCCTACCGGGGATGTGCTCACAACCAATGTACATGCCCTTGACCGGAATCAAACCTGGGACCTTACAGTCTGCAGACAGTCGCTCTACCGCTGAGCCAAACCGGTTTCGGCCAATTAAAATATATTTTAAACAAAAACTCAAACTACAGATATCTTGAAGATGGTGCTATGGTTCTTGTGTGAGATATTTTCTTTTTCTACCCTCTTAATTATTTTCTATAGTTTATAAACATGCACCAACACCTTAATACCCTCATAAACTGGTCTATGACAAAAAGTCTATAGGATCAATAACCAGGACACAGAAACATTTGTGTCATTTACTAAAGACAATTCTCACATCCCTCCCTCTTCCCTTTGAATATTTTGAAACAAATTGGGGAACAGAAATGTATGGAGGCACCAGCAGCTAAAGAAGGAAAGTATGTATCTAAGAGTGTGTGCTCACACATGTGTATGTGTGTGTGTGTGTGTGTGTTTGTGTGTGTGTAAGGACTAAACTGAAAATACTTAAATTGTAGCAGATATACATTGTTTATATTTAAAGTGTGCAATCTGATTCAGTATACATATGCATTGTGAAAGAATCATGATAATCAAGCTAATTAATGCATCTGTTAACTCACATGGTTATCAAAAGTGACTCCATTTTGGACTGTTTTCACCTCCATTCTTCTCAACACTACTGAACAGCATAGCTTAACCCAGCCAATTTCTACTGAATGCATATTGCTTTCATACCATTGTAATGTCAAAAAATCATAAGCTTGAAAAATCATGAATAAAATTGTGAGTCATTTTTGTTATGCCATGACACCTAACAAAAACTTAATAAATAACCAAATTTCATTTTCAGCCTCTTCCAGAGATGGAATTGTAAACCAATCAATTACTGGTAAGGTAATCTGCCTGATAAGACTCGCTGCCTTCCCCTGAATAAAGGTGCCTTGTTAAAAATAATCCAGTATTTTTAAAAAATATATTTTATTGATTTTTTACAGAGAGGAAGAGAGAGGAGTAGAGAGCTAGAGACGTCGATGAGAGAGAACCATCGACCAGCTGCCTCATGCACACCCCCCACTGGGGATGTGCCCACAACCAATGTACATGCCCCTGACTGGAATCAGACCTGGGACCTTTCAGTCCACAGACCAATGCTCTACCACTGAGCCAAACTGGTTTCAGCAAAAATAATCCAGTATTTAACTTGGTAATCTCACCCTCTTTATGCCTATGAAAATCTTCCATTTTGTACAACTCACCAAAGTGGCTTTCTAGTGCTAGATGGCATGCAACCCAATTTCTGAATTGCTTAATAAAGCCAATTAGATCTTCAAACTTACTTGGCTGAATTTTGTTCTTTTGCTCTTTCCCCCAGGGCCTTGTCATTCCTTTGTACCCAGAAGGCTGCCTTTGATGTATGACTCCTTTGCTCTAGGCTCTTCTCAGAGTGACCCCCAGTGTTCTAGATGAGGAGATAAACAGGTGCACAGAGTAAGGCTGTCCCCTCTTCCCCCACCACCACTGCCAATCAGTTGGAACACTCCCCCTCCCACATCTATTCCTTTCTCATTGCTTTCTTATCTCTAAGAAAAGAAAAACAACACTGACTTTGTTCTGTAGATTCACACACTAATCCCTATGGACCTGTGAACGTAAGTATAAAATCTGAATAGGGCAAGTTAGAGTTAGAAGGGTTGGTACTGAGCATGGCTGGGGAAAAGGCCCAGGAACACTGGGAGGGGCTTGCTTGACCTTCTTGGTGATAGAGTTGAGCATGCAGTGATCCAACTTGTGAGAAGCAAAGGCCCAAATTTAACTCAGCATTAAACTTACTAACTCAGCCGAAGCCGGTTTGGCTCAGTGGTAGAGCTTCGGTCTGCGGACTGAAAGGTCCCAGGTTCGATTCCGGTCAAGGGCATGTACCTTGGTTGCGGGCACATCCCCAGTAGGGGGTGTGCAAGAGGCAGCTGGTCAATGTTTCTCTCTCATCGACGTTTCTGGCTCTCTATCTCTCTCCCTTCCTCTCTGTGAAAAATCAATAAAATATATTTAAAAAAATAAATAAATAAACTTACTAATTCACACCTCCCATCCTCCCCAACATTTTCAAGCATAACACATTGAACCTGCTTAAATCTTGGTCTTCTCATCCTCTTTAGGCCATTTGAGCTAGGGATAGGGCGTCACAAATGAGAACCTGCCTATCTCTTGTTCTGTGCCTGATAGAGCACTCAAGACCCCCAAAAGTGCTCTCATGCAAATCCCATTAGTCTCTTTCAGGTCTGTAAAGGAGCTACTATTAGGCCCATTTGAAGACACCAATTCTGAGATATTGAAACTTAGAGTTTTTATAGGGCCAGGTTAACTTCTTGTGGTAACTGAGGACAGGGAGCTGGTTTAAAGGAAAGACTTTTTCAAACATCTCTAGGCCCTGATTTTGACCAAAGCAGTTCCTGTGAGGTCAGTTTTAATCTTGGTATTTGGTTGCTTTGTTTTTCTTTTAAATATTTTTATTGATTTCAGAGAGGAAGGGACAGGGAGAGATAGAAACATCAATAATGAGAGAGAATCACCGATTAGCTATCTCCTACACACCCCACTCTGGGGATCAAGTCCATAAGCTGAGTATGTGCCCTGACTGGGTATTGAACCAAGACCTCCTGGTTCATAGGTCAACCACTGAGCCACGCTGGCTGGGATTTTTGTTTGTGTGTGTGTGTGTGTGTGTGTGTGTGTGTGTGTGTGTGTGTTTATTTTATTTTATTTGTCTGTTTGTTTTGTTTTTTTTGTTTGTTTTTTTCCTTCATTTTTTCATTAAGGTATTAGATGTATACATATCTTATCATTGCCTCCCACTCCCATATATGCCCTCATCCCCCAGTGTTTCGAGTTCATTGGTTATGCTTATACGCAGCATAAGTGTTCTTTGGTTGATCTTTGCTTAAAACACTATTTCAAAACTGCATTTCTTTTATGATAGTATTCTTAATGGCAAATCAAGATGATTCAGTATGACGATAATTAGGTAAATGGCCTCAGAGAAGACAAATGGGCAGTCAGAAATGCTACCGTGTTTCAGGCAGCCATTGGGGAAGTACTATGAGGAAGTCAATAGGAGATAAGCCCCACTTGAAGAGTCCGTTTTAATTGCAGCCTGGGATTTCAGGGAGCCAAAGCCTTCCTGCTTGGGAATGTTTCCCAAGTCTACTCATCTTCTACATTCCCTTAAGGATGAGAACCTTTTCTACTTCACAGACATAAAACTTAAAATCCCATTCTCTTTCAGACACACTCTCTTATGAGAACCCATCTGGACTGTAAAACAGAGCTAGCCAGAATGCTCCTTGTTTTGGGTGAAGAGGTATTTGGAATTCTCAAAATAAATTTCATCTATTTTCTACAATTTTGTGCTTGTCTCACTCAGGCTCTAGCCTCACTCTTGTAAAGTTTATTATCTAATGAGATTTATCATCTTCTAGTCTGGAACCAAATGGTAAAATTGAGCCTAAATATCTACAATGGAATTTTAAGGTGGAACTCAGCTCAGGCGTGTTGCAGTTATGCTTTCCTCTCTCTTCCATGTAGACCCACAGGTGATCCTGGTGACTGAGATGTCTTCCTCTCTGAAGGTCCTAGGTCCTCTCTTGCTCCTGCTGTTACCCTTTTGTGGACTCCAGGTACACAGCCAGAACCTTTCCTGGAGGGAATTCATGAAACAGCACCACCTGAGCACAAGCTGGGAACTCACTGAGTACAGATGCAATGACCTCATGAGAGGAAGAGAAGCTCCAAAAGCAGGAACTATCACATCTTTATCTATACCTTCTGGCACAAAATTGAGCATGTATGCACCAGGAACTGGAGAGATCGCTACAGTAATGTATACTAGTATATAGGTGCCCAACATCCCTTCAAAATGATCAGTGCTACTCAGTGAATAACAAAAAGGGCTACAAAAAGCACAGGAGCGATAGCTACTCTACTTCCCAACCCCCTTCCCAGTTTCTCTCTCACAGAGGATCCAGAAAGGCAGACCTCAGCAGTGCTAAGGTTGTTTTATATGAGCAGGAGAGAGTATCCCACTCTCAGCAAGCATGTGTGTGTGTGTGTGTGTGTTTGTGTGTGTGTGTGTGTGTGTGTGTGTGTGTTCGTTCGCGCACACGCGCGCGCGTAAGTGTTGGTACAGGACATCCAGCTCCCTCCACCAGCTGGGACTCAAGGTCTCTGTCAACAGGTCATGCAGTGACTGTGGACAAACTACATGACTTCTCTGAGCTTAGAATTGTTTTCAGAGAAATGAAAGTCTGAAGAAAGATGATTCTAAGATTGCACTCAGTTAAAACAATTTTTCAGTGTTTTCTGGTTCTAAAGGTCTTTCTCTCAATACTTCCCAGAAAGAAAGATTGGATTGCATATATGATATATTTCCTTAAGACCTTTATACTTTTCAAAGAGCCAAAGTTGCTTTTATGGAAGTATTCATCAATTAACTGCCCTCAGTTTAAATAAAAACAAGTATCATTCACTCAGAAACACAGAAAGGGGGAGAAAAATTCTTATTTACCCCCACTCTCACTCTCCTTATTTCCTGTCAAAATGCCAGCAAAAGATGAATTTTTATCCCAAGAAGGAATTTGTATATTTTCATATTAAGTGAAATGCATAAACACCTGTCAATACTGACAACCAATCATTGCATGCTGAATATTCTAAGCCCCCATTTCTTCCCATTCCTCCTCTCAAAAGGTATGTTCACCTCTGCAC